GTCCACCTGTAGTCTCAGGTACTTAGGAGGCTGGGGTGGAACGATCATCAGAGTCCAGGAGTTCGAGGCTACAGTGAGCCATTATCATGCCACTGCTCTCCAGTCTGGGCAATCGAGTGAGGCCCCAATTTTTAAAACATCTAAAATGCAGGTAAGTACAGAGAAGGAAAAAAGATCACTCATAATCCTACCACTCAGAGAGAACCCACTGCTCACACAGGTGTGCATATGGCCTGTGTGGGATTTATAGGATCATATAAGACATGTGGTTTTGTCATTAGGTTGTTTTATAATCTGCTTTTTCAATCAATAGAGTATTGCAGGCATTTTTCTCTGTGATGAATTATGATTCAACATTTCCTAATGAATATCCATCAGCAGAGAACTTGACTATGTTCACTGCATCAGACAAGCATATACAAAGTTAATAGCATATAGGAAATAACAATTACGGGCTGCATTTTCCCCAAACAAGGAGGTGGTCTCTGAGGTCCCTGGAACATCTGTTGCCCTGACCCCTCCCAGAGTTGCCCAAGAAACTAGATAACCAAGTCGATTAGACCAATTACCTACATTTTATACATAGCACTAGGTTGATTTATTTTTTTAACTGCATGACCTCTTTTCATAAAGGGTTAAAAGACACAAGAGAAACACACTTCACAAGATGAGGTCAAATAGAAAGCCAGACGAAAAAGGAATAGAAGCAAATAAACCAGCTATAATTGCTACCATGATTGAGATTTAAATTTGACTTGAGCTTCCTGGGAGCCAAGGCAGAAAGGGAATTCGGGTGATTTGTATAGCTCAAGTTATCAACAAGGAGGGAAAACGTTAATTAGGAAGATGGCATTTCTCCTGACAGTGAATTTTGGGATGAACTTTCATATAGGACGTTAGAAGAGATGCATAACAGGCAGCCTTCTTTGCAGAAGTCTTATAGCAAATATAGAAGACTGCACATGGCTACTTGAATAAACTTGAACTGAGCTAACGGTGCATCACAAATGCACAGTGATAATAATACTTCCCATTTCTACAGCTACCACTAGATGGGCACTATTATGATGAAAGGCCATTTAATCCTCAATCCTCTCAACAACCCTATAGTCTGGTGCTATTATGATCCAGGAAACCGAGGCCCATGGATAGTAAATAGCTTGCTAAGGTCACACGGCCAGGAAGCGGCAGAACCATGACTCAGACCGAGGCGTTCTGGCGCCTCTGTCCTGTCCCTCAGCTGCATTTCCTCAGAGAGGGACAGGACTGAGTCAGCGCTGATAGGTGGCCTTGTGTGACCCGACCGGGTGCAAGATTAGAACTCAGAGGCCAGGTGGTGGCAGGGTGGGGGGAGCATGGGTGGAGGTCCTCGTGTGTGCCAGGAGGAGCCGTCCAGCCTCCTAGACAGGTGGCTGCGATGGCTTCTGGCTTCGAGATGCAGGAACCGAGGCCCAGAGAGGAGACAGCCTTGCCGGAGCTACAAGGCTTCTACGTGGTGGGGCTAGATGTGAAGCCTGGGTCTGTCCAGCTCTTTCCACTGCCCCTCCCTACCTCTGGCTGAGGACCTGGCTCAGGCCACGCCCCGGGTCCAAGGCAGCTGCACACACTCCAGCCCCACAGAAAGACTATCCTGTACTCGGTGACTGTTCTTACACCTCTTCTCCGAAGCCCATACCTGGCCTGAGCTCTGAGCTTTGGACCTTCCGTGTTGCCGGCACCCCTCCTCTCTGCCGCCACCCCAAGTCAGACTCTGGCTCTATCCGTCCCCACACGCTAATCAGTCCTCAGTTTTCAAATGCAAAAAAAAAAAAAAAAACCCCAATCCCGAAGACTCTGGGAAAGATGCCAGTTTCCCTGGGGAGGCAGCAGGGAGGGTCTCATGGCCCTCTCAGCTCCCATCTCCTGCCCACCCAAGTCCCCGTGCACACAGCCTGGGGCCTCCCTTTAGCTGAGCACCTGCTTCAGGCCAGGTTCTCGCTGAACTCCCTCCCAACTCATTCTACAGACCAGGACCCCAGTGGGGCCTCCCTGCGGCCAGTGCTGAAATTGTGCCATTGCCGTGGTGGCCGTGAGTAGTTTTGTTTGAAATCGTGAGATGCCCCCGGTCTCTTTCTGATAGCCCAGCTGCCACCAGAGGCCAGTGGGCAGAGTCTGGGCTCGGGGCCCACCTCTGCCTGTCTGACCCAGCCCACAGGCCAACCCTCAGATACGCCCAGCCTCAGTGTCTTCATCCATAAAATGGGGTGAAAAGGTACCCCTGCCCTGTGGGGTTCTTATGAAGACCGAAGGAAAGACCACAGGGCTTAGCACAGACCCCTGCGCTGAACAAATGCCCAGGAAGCCGGTGCCAATACCCAGGTGGCTGATGGCTCCCCCTCTCTGGAAGGGCGGCCACATTCTTTTCGGTGCCTTCAATTCTGGTATCCTCTGTGGCAAAGCAGAGGTGGGCAGCATGAGCTTGTTAGAACCACAGGTTCCAAAAGCCCAGTGCCTGTCACCCTCGCCTCCAGCCCTGTCACAGGGCGTCCTCTGAGGCCCACCGCCCCTGATCCAAAGATCCAAGAGTTTGAGCCCGAGCCAGAGATACAGCCATGCTTCCAATGTGGCGGGGAAACCCTGCACACAGGACAGACTCAAGGAATTCTCCAGAAGGAGCAACACCGGCCCTGGCAGAAGAAGGAAAGCAGAGGGGCTTTATTAATAACCTGCCCCCACAGGAAAGACGGGAGACTTTCCACCACCAGCTTCTGCCAGGTCACAGCGTCCACCTCATGTGTGAGTTCACCCCATTTTATTAACCACTCGCCATTGCTTAAGTGCCTTAGAGTCGGAAAGGACATCCTCAGCCCATGCTCGGATGCTGGCCAGGCACTCAGTGTCCCCAGCCCTGCCCCCTTGGCCGGTGAGGAAACTGGAGCCACCAAAGGGTGGAAGCTTGCCAAGAGTTGTGGCCTGTTACCCCAAGCCAGGCCTCAGGCTTTCCTTGTTGGGGACAGTCTCAAAGAGCCAGGGATGAAAGCCACGCATCTAAACCCACTTCTGGCACGATGGGGGCCCTGGGAGATCGGCTCCCACCACTGAAGACACACCCTCCCGAGGAGGAGGCTCGTGCGCAGAGGAAAAAGGTGGAGGCTCGGACCCCAGAGGGATGTGGTCCAAATCTAAGCTCCCTGTGTTCGTGGCAGGGCTGGGATTGGCACACCCAGTGCTCCCAACCCCCTGCCGCCGACCGTACCCTGGTGCCAGAGCCAGCAGAGTGGCAGGTACACAGTCGGTGCTTAGAAAATCTGTGTGACTCGACCAACTCTGAGGGTCCTTATTGGATGCCAGGCCCGGGGAACCAGCAGGAAGTAGATTCCTCCTTTGACTGGTGACATGCAGACTGAGGCCCAGGGAAGCGAGGTGGGTTTCCCAGGGTCACACAGACCAGAGAGGCCTCACCCGAGACAGCTCCAGGCCACGGAAAGAGCTGCAGTTCCCTGGACCCGGTGGCCACAGTCTCCAGATCTGGCCCTGTCCCAGTCCAAGGGGGTCCAGAGGAGACCCCGGCAGGGCCTGGATCTCCCCACCCCCCCAGCCTCTTCCCTTCCCCACCATCGCGCCGGGGGCAGCAGGTATTGTTCCCTGAGCCTGGCAGCTCCCGGGTGCCTGGAGGCCTAGCCGGCAATCTGCACGCCCACTTCCTACCCGCCCAAGAGACCACGTGATCATCAGGAGAGAAAAGTTAAGTGGCTTTGCTGGCAGAGTGTGTGTCCTCTGAGACCCTGAGGACTCCTCGATAACAAATCAGCAAGGGCAGCAGATAGGGCTGGGAGTTGAGACAGATGCAGATCCCGCTCAACCATGGTGCCGTTGGCCTCCAGAGGCCACTTCAAGGAGAGGAGCTCACCAGGCACAGTGGCTCACACCTGAAATCCCAGCAGTTGGGGAGGCCAAGGTGGGAGGACTACTTGAGCCCAGGAGCATGAGACTAGTCTGGGCAACATAGCAAGACCTTGTCTCTAAGAAAAAATTGGCCAGGCGTGGTCGTGTACATCCTGTGATCCCAGCGACTCGGGAGGCTCACCTAAGCTCTGGAGTTGGAGTCCTCCGTGAGCTGTGATCGTGCCACTGCACTCCAGCCTGGATGACAGAGCGAGACTCTGGCTCAAAAAAAAGGAGAGGAGCTCATGAAACAAGAGGACCAGCACATGCCACGTGTCCACCATGTGCCAAGCCCTCGGCTCACAAAATCCCTGGAGTTATCCCACTTTGTAGCTGTCCAAACTGAGGCTCAGAGAGGCCAAGTCGCTCACTCAAGGTCACACAGCAGAGCTTGGATTTGAAGCTAGGGTTTCCTGTTCCAGAGCCCGAAGGCTTCCCAAATACTGGGTTACTGCTCTGATGTTCCCTGAGGCGGCACACACAGGGAAGAACAGCCTTCCCCCTTCAGAGAATATGGCAAGTGCTCACACCTTCCCCCTCCCCATCCCTGCATTTCCATATACTGGGCTTCTGTTGAGCAAGGTTTACCTGCATTTCTCAGTCTTTGGAATCTCCAGAGGTGATTTTCGCGGTGGTCCAAGGGGCAGCGTTCCCGGTTCTGCTCCTCCCAACATCACGTGTTGCTAAAATCCAGCTGGAGCTGGATTCGGGGCTCAGGGCTCCAAAGGCAGACTGTGGAGCCTGAATGCAATTAATCAGACCCCCACACACTGGAAAATAAGTGTGCAGCTTTAACTGAGCATTTACTATGTGCTCACTACGGTGGGTGTTTTACACAAAGGCTCTCTTAATCCTGCCAATACCTTATGAGGAGCACCTGTTATTACCCCCATTTTGCAGAAGAGAAAACCAAAACTGAGGCACAGGGTTAAAGAGCTAACTTGTGGGCACACAGCAGTCAGGTATCGCTGCTGGGATTCAAACTCGGGGCCAGCTCAGTTCATTAGCACCATCATAATTACCATGGCACCAAGACCAGTCCTGTTACAAGGTTCAGAATTACCGGAAAAGTCTGAAACTCTCAAGGGAGAAAAAAGTGGCTTTGGGAACCTCACGCGATGACATTGTTTACTGACCTGCAGGGAGACCTGCAACTTTCCGGTGGCACATGCCGTGGGGCCACAGGGATTCCGAACCCTCCCAAGCATGGGGCCACCAGCTGAGCCCCAACCCTCCCGGGAGCCGAAAGCCAGCAAACACCTCCCGGCTACCACACAGCCTTCTCGACCTGTCTCTTCTGACTCCTGGCTTCTGCCAGGGTCTCTTGAAACTCCCACTCTCTGTTCCTCGAGGCCAAATTGATTGGACTTCCAGATGGTCAGCCATGAGTCTCTGGCAAGCCCACGGCAGAGGGGGCCACTAGGTCAGAGGCCTGGATTCAAACCCCGTTGTCTGTCGTGTGACCGCAGCTGAGTCTCCACTCCTCTCTGCACCACTTCCCTTCTCTCAGCTGGCGTGACGATTAAAGTGAATGCTTGGCACACTACAGGCCTTGCAGATTGCCCAGTGCCCTGCCGGTCCCCATGGAAGGAAATCACCTGGAGTTTTCCAGGGGTGGGCGGTCAGATGCTGCTCAAGCTCACTTTCCATGGAGATGACCGCTCCCCAGCCCCCATCGGAAACAAGGGCCTGGGCTTGAACTGGCTATGGAGTGTCACCTCCCGGGGCCTCTGTAACGGGGTGGCACGGCCTTTGGCTCAGCACTGCGTGCACGGGACCCGCCTGGGACCCGAGGCCTTCGGGTCAGATGTGCCTGGTGTGTTTCTTGCTCTGCTCGCCCCATGGGCCTGGCAGACCTCAAGAGTGTGGGGCTCGGCCTGGGAGGCTCACGGTGTGAGGGTGTGGGCTGCAAGGTCACTGTCGCTCGGGACCGTGTCAGCATCCTCGCTTTCATGCACCAAGCCCAGCGTCAGCACCGCCTGAATGCTAAGCACCAGTGGAAGCTCTTCCTTCCTCTCCCTAAGCCCCAGAAGGTGGTCTCAGCGAGCCCTCTTTTGTGGATGAGGCTGCAGGAGCCAGGGGAGGGCAGGGACTCACCCAGGCTGATGCAGGGGCAGGGCCGGCTGTAGCTCAGCCACCCCCAACCCAGCCCTGCCACCTGGAGCCCTGCCTGGCGGTTGCTGGAAGAACACGGGGAGAGGGCCTTGGCAGAACTGCATGTGAGACCCTGGGCAGGTGCGGTGTTGACTGCCTTTGTTTTGGGAAAAACCTCACTTTTCTCTTTTCTCATGAATTGGAGGAAATTATCTTTTCTCTCCTCTGTGCCCAGTCTGTGCTGGAGACTGTGGGTTTTCAGCCCTCATGCTAGGTCCCCGAGATGAAGAATGCACTTTTCACCCTGCAGATGAGAAAACTGAGCTTTAGAGGGGTGGGCCATTCCCCGAGATGTCACCGCTAGAGCAAAGGCTGGATCTGGTGGCCCTGAAATCAGACTGCTGGGTCCGCATCCTAGCAGCGGGCTTATGCTTCTGAGCTTGGGCAATTCACTTGAGCTCTCTGCGTGCACCTGGGAAGTGGGCAGCATGAGTGCTGTGAGATGACCCATGGTAAGCGTTGGTGGGGCTCGGCACCCAGACACACTGAATACACGGATTCTCACCATCTGACTGTCGACGTGTGTTACTTGGCAGGGCTGGGCTTTAACTCCGGACCCACGAGGCCTCCCCTGCCTGGCTGACCTCACTCCACCGCCTCCTTCTGCTCTTGCAGGATGTGCCACGGCACAGGGCGGGGCAGAGGATGAAGGAGAGGCGGAGGCAGGTTGGATCGAGGGGGCCGCCATCCTCCTCTCGGTCATCTGCGTGGTCCTGGTCACAGCCTTCAATGACTGGAGCAAAGAGAAACAGTTCCGGGGCCTGCAGAGCCGCATCGAGCAGGAGCAGAAGTTCACTGTGGTCCGGGCTGGCCAGGTGGTCCAGATCCCCGTGGCTGAGATCGTGGTCGGGGACATCGCCCAGGTCAAATACGGTGAGTGTCCCAGCCACCAAGCCAGCTCTGGAGCTGGAGCCTGGACAGAGGTGGGACAGGCCAGGCTGACACAGAGAGACTGGCTCAGGGAACGGGGTGCATTCCCGAAGGCTGATCCCAAGATGTCTTCTGAGCTCCCTTGGAAGGTGGAAGGGTTCCAGAATTCACCCAAATCAGAAATGGCAAATGCATGGCACATGTGCCGCCGCTCTCCAAACTTCTACCCCTAGCAGACATCACTAATCAATCACGGCTCAGAGCCTAGATGCAGCCTCAGAAGCCTTCTCAATACAGCATTCCAAGGACCACTATTACTCAGAATGGGAGTATGAAATGAGATCCACTTCCCATCCCTGGTTAGAGTAGGTGTTAGAGGGAGTGGAGGCAGATGAGTGGAGATTCTGGGCCTGTGTGACCACCGTGGAAAAAGCAGGCAGTCTGGCACCAAAGGTGGTTATGACAAGATGCTACCTGGGTAAGTAGAGGCAGAAGGTAGAGGAGAGTTTGGAGTCCCCTCCTCACTCAGCCCTAGAGGGCTTGATTTCCTCCTAACAGTGTGCCTTGGTTGGGGTCTCTTCAGCCTAGCCAGGACAGACCGGTCCCTTCTGAAAGAATTTCCCCAAACCATAACTGAGACTGGAGAACAAATCATTGAGAGAACTGGACTCCAAATGCAAGGCAGCTCAAGAGAAGCACTTCCCAGAGTACGTGCCTGCTTGGACTGGGGCTGTGTGGGGCCCAGCCTCTGCCCTCCAAGCCTTGTGCCACTTGCCCTGCCTCCACTCTTGAGCTGCCCGTTGGCCTGATGGGCACCATCTTGGTTCCCGCACCCTGGATGCTCTAGGCACCCGGTCCCCAGCGGTGCAACCCCTCCCCCATAGTCACACCTTTTAGGGGCTGTTCCAGCCTTCCAGCCACCTGAGGCCCCGCTGACTGCCCTGCCCTTCCTACCGCCAGGTGATCTCCTCCCCGCTGACGGCCTCTTCATCCAGGGCAATGACCTCAAGATTGACGAAAGCTCCCTTACCGGGGAATCTGACCAGGTGCGCAAGTCCGTGGACAAGGACCCCATGCTGCTGTCAGGTGAGCTGCAGCCCAGTGGGCTCACTCCCAATGCTAGTTCTGGCTCCCCATGTGGAAGGGGACACCTGTGTGTCCCCTTCGTGAGGCTGAAGGGCCTCGGATGCTCTGATCCTTGGCCCTGGGATCTCTGGCCAGCTCAGCCTCCAATGAGAATCTCCCCCCTTTCTCCCCGACAAACATGTGGTGAGCCTACTGTATACTTGGCAATGCCCTGGGCCCCATCCACACTGCAGTGAATAGAATTGGCAAGGAATTCCTGCCCTGATGGAACTTGCCATCTACTGACTTGGCATGCCGGAAAGCCAACTGAAGGCCGTTCTCATCAGGGCTGAGAAAGACCCAGTCAGGGGACCACCGTGTTGGGCACCTGCTGTGTGCCAGCTCCTGATGGGGCTACAGCAGTGAATTAGGCCGGCCAGGCCCCAGCCCCGAGGAGCTGGTAATGAGGAACTGGCAAGAGGCCGTGCGAAAATGCCAGAGGGGCCAGGAGCATGAAGAATACAGCCGGGCAGGGGATGCCGGCGGCCAGGAGGGGGGCAGGGAAGGCCTCTCAGGGAGGCCACGAGGTGTGCCGAGGGTGGATGATGAGAGGGAGCTGGCTTTGAAACTGCCTGGGGAACAGCATGCCAGGCAGAGGGAAGAGCAAGGGCCAAGGTCCAGAGGCAGGACCGTGCCAGAGGACTGGGCAAAATGGACAAGGTGGAGAGGCCAGACGTCGGCCTCGTGAGCCATGGCGAGAGCTTGAAAACTATTCCTAGTGTGCAGAGGAGTTTCCGGAATGGTTTTAAGCAGTGAGCTGGTTGTGTTAACCTTTTTAAAATCTCACCCTGGCTGCTGCAGGGGAGGGGAGAGAAGAGGTGGGGACACCTTGCAGGGGTGAGACGCCTTTTCCACAGGGACACCCAAGAGGCTTTATTGCCCCCACAGAGCTGGACGGTTGGGACCCCTCCCTACTGGCAATGACTCAGACCCAGCCTGAATGGGCCTAGGGGAGCAGACCTACAAACAGCCAACCCCACAGTGGAGGTGTGGGAAAGGTAGTATGAGAAGCCAAAGTGGGAGCAGCGCTTCCCAGAGGAGGTGGTACTGAGCTGCGTTTTAAAGGTTGAATAGGAGCTCACTGAGTCCAGTCATGGAGAAAAGGCCCTCCTAGCAGAGGCAACCATGTAAAGGCACAGAGGTCTGAAGTGTGGAATGTCCTGGAAATACTGAAGGGAAAACCAACAGGCCTACAGGTAGGATGGTAGAAAGGGGTGAGAATTGAGGCTGGGGCATTTATTCCTCCAGCATGTATTCAACCAACAACTATTGAACACCTACTGTTTACCAGTAGTTAAGGAGACAAAAAAGGCCCCTGGAGCTTAGAATCTCGTAAAGGAGAGAACCAGTAAAGTAACAAGCAAGCAAATACGTAAAGTAATTTCAGACAGTGACAAGGTCAGATGAAGACATTATGCCATCACTACGAGATCTAGAGCCCTGGGAAGGGGGCAGGAATCTTCATTGGTCAGGTTAGGGCTGTCTGCGGAGGTTGAATTTGACTTGAACCGAAAAACAATGAGAAGAAAGACCAGTCCAAGCAGAGGAATAGTGCATGCAAAGGCCCTGGGGTCTGACCGAGAGGTCATGGGAGCCCTTAAATGACTTCTTGGGACACAGGACCACGTGGGAGCTCAATAATTGGTCATGGCCTTGTGGCCTGGCTCTGCCCACTGGCGTGTAATGCCTGACACACAGGCGCAACCTTGGGGAAGTGGCCAGGTGAGTCGTCTGGATGTGAGGAAACCCATGGGAGGCGGAGGCCTGAGAAGATGGATGATGAAGGCCTCAGACAGTTTGGAGAAGGGGAAGAGGGAAGGATGCTGGCAGGAGGCTGGGAGAGGATGCGGCCCAGCCCGACACCACCACCGGGCACCCAAGGGGGAGGGCGCAGGGGCAGAGGGACCCTGGAAGAGATGCAGATGGGCAGAGGCCAGCCTGGGTGAGTCACAGGGTAGGAGGGCCTCTGAGCAGGGACGGGAGGCCCCAGAGGGACCGGAGTGCCAGGCGTGGACTAGGCTGGAGGCAGAGGAAGGAGCAGGAGGCCGTTCGGGGAGCAGCAGGGGAGCGTGAGGAGGCGTTTCGGGGGCCAGGGGCGTCTCTCTAACTCTGTGCCCCACATCTGTCAAGTAGCCTCAAAGCTGGGAGAGGCTGAGTGGGCTCCTAGGGGGCCAGAAGACCCAGGGGACCGAGGGATCCCACAGGAGAGCTGAGGCCTGCAGGCCCCGGAGACTCAGGAGACAGCAGAAGGCATTCCAGGTCTCAGAGAAATCCCAGCCAGTCCCACCCGGCTAGGCTGCTGGGGTGAGCACTGGTCCTCGGCAAGGTTTCTGCTCAGCTCGGAGTCAGTGGCTTGTGAGCTCTGGGACAAGAAAGGGGGGACCCCAAGAAGCCACTAGGGCCCCCGAGCCTACATCAAGCCAGCAGCCTCATCTCGATCTATGCCATGGGAAGCCTGGGTAGATGGGGCGCCTGGGGCCCCTGGACATCGGGAGGCATCAGCCTAGGTCTCTGGGATGTCCTCGGGAGCGAGAAGGAGCAGGGCATGCGGAACCTGGAGATTTCGGTGTGTTGCCTCGAGGAGAGTGTGCCCACCAGGCTCGCAGAGACCACGAGCAGGGAGAGGTGGCAGAAAGAACGTGGGTGGCCACAGCGTGCAGGATGCACCCAACCAAAGAAATGAAACCACGGCAAGCCCATAGCACGGACGCTCAGAAACAGTTGCAGGGGGGTCAGGAGGTGTGGGAGAGCGTGGCTCAGCTGGGGCCCTCGGGGAGGGGGCTCCAAGGGGGTGTCGTGGGCCCCATAGAAAGCAGCGTAACTGGAAAGAGAAGAATTCTGGAACAGCCAGAGCCATTCTAGAAAAAAAGAGGCTGCCTATAAGGTGGTGAGTTCCCCGTCACTGTGCGTGAGCGGGGGAGGCCTGGACAAGCTGTGGGTGGGGGTGTTGCAGAGTAGCTCAGTGAGTGGGCACTGCATTCAGTGCCCCTCCCAGCCCAGAGAGTCACCTTCACCACGTCCTGTACCTCGGTTTAACTCCTGTACTGACCCACTTTGTTTTGTTCCCTGCAACCTGCCCCTGCCTAAGCCCTTCCTCCCAGACAGTCCTCTTTCTTCCTCTTTGTTCATTTGACTCCTGCCCACCTGCTCAGGCCCCACCTCCTCCATGAAGTCTTCCTTCACCACCATTGTCGAGGGCAGTCACCCCCGGACTGTCTGGGGCCCACTGTTCTCCTGTGTCACTCCACCTGGTGCTTGGCCCATTCAGGAACAACCTTGTACTGTTGACTGAGTTTTTCACTGCACAAACCATCTCCAATAAAGAGCAAAATCCATCTGCAGTCCTACCATCCAGCCAGACCAAAATGGTCTCACTTGTCTGGGCCCTTTCGTTCTTGGACACACGTGGACAGATGGACACTGCCAAGATGTGCTCCCGCATCCAGCCCCTTGCCCAAGCAGGTCCAAGAAGCCGGAGCTCTGAGCCCTCGGGAGGGCGTACCCAGCTCTACCCTGGGCCCAGCAGACCTCGGGCTCTCTCTCCAGAGTGAGGGAGAGAGGTTGTATGTGTGGTGGAAAGAGCAGAGCACCAGACCTGAGCTCCGGGGTGGATGCGCCATGTGTCCTTGGGCACACAGCCTCTCTGAGGGCAGCAGGGACGTCCCTGGGAACACAACACGGGTGGAGCTTCCGGCACAGAGAGACACAGGGACTCAAGGCAGGCTGGCTCCCCTCCCCATGCCTGGTGGGGCCTGGCCTTGCGGGTGAGAGGGGCTGGGTTCCAATCCCCGCTCTACCCTCCTTGGCCGGCGACCCCCCCGAGCGTGCCCCCTTCCAAGCCCTTGTTTCCTCACTTGTGAAATAGGATGCCATCCCTGGCTCACGAGGCTGCATTGAAGTGTGGGGTCTCCAGGAGCACCAGTTCCCTGCTCCTCCCTCTTCTCCAATGCCTCCCTTTTCCCCACCTCTCTGGGCTGTGCCCTTTCTCTCCGCCATCAGCTCCGCTCCACCTTTTGCCTGCTTCTCCAGCCTGGCTCCCCACCCTCCACTCGTGCGAACATGATGGTCCTCCCCGCTTAACTTGGTGTGTCCTCCAGGAGCGGGATGTCCTCATACACAGCACAGCGCCAATGCCGTGCTGCCCACTCTCCCACAAATCCCCAGGGCCAGATCCACACACGGCCCTGCGTGCCAAGGAAGCATCTTGCCCCTCAGTCCCCTTCCACATCGAGCCGCCTTCACCCTCTCTTTGCCTCTGTGGAAGGCGGCGCCTGTTAGCCCCCCAGGTCATGAACCGCTGTAAGAGTGCCACTGATGCCACCATCCCTCTTATGGGGGACAGACGCCCAGACTCGTGATTTTGCAGCATTTCAGGGGATCCAAAGATCCCTAGAGAATCCTGACCTTGCCTCAGTTTGCAGCTGGGGAAACTGAGGCCCAGGACAATAGGGTAAGTCCCCACAGAGGGCAGGGGCAGGGCAGGAGCCAGACCCCAGCCTTCCATCCTCCCAGCCCCAGGCCCCTCCTGAGCCCCCATACAGGAGCCTACCTCCAAAGACGGTGTAGACTTTATTACCCGGAGGCGTGACCTGTTTGAAGCATCTTTTTTTTTTTTTGAGTTGGAGTCTCACTCTGTCGCCCAGACTGGAGTGCAGTGACCGCTCCCGGCCACCGCAGCCTCGACCTGCTGGGCTCCGGCGATCCTTCCGCCTCAGCCTTCTGAGTAGCCAGAATTACAGGCATGTGCTACCATGCCCGGCTGATTTTTTGATTTATTGTAGAGATGAGGTCTTACAGCCCAGGTGGGTCTCAAACCCGCGGGCTCAGGCAATCCACTCACCTCAGCCTCCCAAAGTGCTGGGATTACAGGCTGAGCCACCGAGCCCAGCTTATAGTGACTTTCACTGGTGAACACACGACTGGACACCGTCAGTTTGGTGGTAGTAAGGGCTGGGGCCGGG